TATACATACATGCAATGTCACAGTATATCTATACATACATGCAATGTATCAGAGTTCTTGCACAGGGTTTACCTTATGTAGCGCTTCTGGTCATGTAAGGTTGATGGAGTCTCCAGCAATTTCTTTAAAAGTAACTCTCTTAGATCTTCAATTCCTGCTTCTACTTCAGCATAATCTATTTTTAAAAGATGCAAGATTTACAGAACTGAATTTAAAATCAACTTTCAGAAAGCAGAATACTGGTTGCTTTTTGACTGAAAAGAGAGACAAGGGACCTTTGTGGACGGATCAAAACACACAATCTCAAGTGTATAGGAGGGCATGAGCATTCGTCAGAAGTCAGTGACCTGTAACATGTAAGGTCTGTGCATTTCACTGCATGTAAATTTCACCACAGTAAAGAAATAAATTCTGCTTTCTGAGACCTTATGGATTTCATTCTTTTAAATTTAATAAGACCTATGGTATTTCCCCTAGTTAATACGTTCTTAACCATAAGATATTTAAGCTTTAATTTTCTGTAAACCAGGTATAAAGAATAATTTTTAGAAAGTATTGCGTTATGCTTTTGAGAAAGAGTAGAACACACAATACACCATTTTAGCTTGAAGAGGGAAGTCTGAAATGCAGATTTCCACGTCTGTGAAAAACCTGCCAATGCTTCTTTCTGGTATGAAAGCTTTTAATGCATTGTGGTTAAAACACAGCAGAGCATCTGAGACTAGCCCTCGCCGTGAATGTTCATTCCCACCACACAGCAGTAAGAAAACTCGTAAGTTATTTTGCACTAATTGCTTTACATTTTAAAGAAAGAACCACATAAACAAGATCTAAGATGCAAGTAGCACTCTGTAGAGTATACGCTCCACATTCCTCCTGCAAAAGGCAAAGACAGGTCTAAAAGTAATAAATAAATCTTACATTTCTTGAAAACTTGCACCTCTGTTTTCCCAAAGAGCGATTTGGCTTTTTCATAATCATTAATAACCACATCATAATCCCCCTTGAAAATAAGAAACACATGGTGAGATCATTAGGAAACAACAGTGAGCACATGGTTAATATAAAATTATTTTATTTTATATTATATTATATATCTTAACTATATCTTTAAGATCAGCAACACCTATAACTGCACACATACATACTCTGTACCTTTTGAATATTCCGTTTAATATTGAGAGGAAGGTTGAAGAGAAATTTAAAACGCTGAAGCACATTGAGTGCGTTCCTAGTGGAGTCTGCCTTGTCCTTCCGCCCTAACACTTCTTGGAACAACGTGTCAGCGGTGTTACTTGCTCCTGTTGTAAACAGAGAGAGGAAGATGGGTGACAACGACCTGACTGTGAGCACTAAAAGCAAATGGTAATGTTATACTGCCCTGAAATTCAGTAGACTTTTTAAAGCTACCAATATAGAGATCTTTATAGTTTGATAAAATAAAATTTCTGGTTTTAAGATTCCTTTTCATATGTTAAGAACAGTATCTAATTAAAAGCAACACTTACTAAATAAGCCCAATAATTTTCTCCAATATGCATGTATACATATTTTAATCTTCTAAATTTTATAACAATTCTGGATATTTAAAGAACACACACACACTACTTAAATTCTATTGATTCTGCATCACACTACAAGTAATAAATGGGATATGGGAAACTGTTTTCAGAAAAATATTTTTTAAAAAACATTAAAGATAGCTCTACTTTTCAACAAAATTATCCCTCTATGTTGTAAGTACAGAAAATTATATAAACCTTAAAATGATAAAATCTTAACATAGCATCATTACTGTTTCTTAAATCAGCTAAATCTTATAAAATCATGTATGACCAGGATATTTCATATGATTCTTTCCTTTAAAAAGTACAAATTACACAGATCACTTTAAATGAATGCTATTTTTCTAAGGCTAAATTTGCTATATACAACAACAGTTTAGATTTTGCAACATGTGAATTAATTTTAATTAGCTACAAAGCAAAAAAGAGAGCAAGAATAAACTGCTTTCAGCTGTTTGAACTGCTTGTAAAAAGTTTCTGCATTATCTGGTCTAGTGACTATACTTTAAGCAAAGATGAAAAACTCACCTCGCCTCGCTGGGTGGCTTGCACACCACAGCCACACTGTGGGTGGCCTGATCCTGTTAAAAGTCGTCTTTGTAACATGATTGTTTTATCTAAATAATGTTTAAATTCTGTTGAAATTTTAAAGGCCTGATATAAAAACTTCGTTTGGTCAAGAGAGCTGTTTTTCCCACATGCTATTTAATGTGGATACTAAACCTCTATTGTGGGATGAGAGAGACATTTCCCTCTTGCCACCAAGCCACGTAATGAAGGCTTGAGTAAGTACTGAAATCTGATTAGAATTTTAAAACTTTCTCCAGAAAAAACTATCTTAAAGCATTTGCTTATCATTTTAAAAGTATAAACATTATGAGTTTAAGCTTTGTAACTTAAACTTCACATGGAACAGACTCTTTTCTGTTTATTTATTTACATGTAAAGTTTGGGTCTCACACCAGAAAATTCCTTTTTCTATGCAGTGAAAGAATTCAGAGCAGTCTGAATTCAAATTATTCTCATCATTTAAAAGTAATAAAAAAATTCCACCTAATAATTTGAACTCTAAAAATATGAAAACAAGAACAGGTAGAAATATACTTACTCTTGAATAAAATACATATTTTCTGGAGATAATTTTATAGGAAAAAGTTTAAACTGAAATTAAAATTCACAAATGCCAAAATCTGTGAACTGAGAACCTGAATTTCTACAAGGTTGAAAATTATATAGACAATGTCCACTAATAAACTATGCTTTTTCTGTGATTTGCACTGCATTTACAATAAAAATATGGTTCATAATTCTGACAACTGGGAAAGATATTAAATGATAAAATGTTTCAGAGCAATGAAACTAAGATCTGTCTACACATCATATATATATAATCACCGGCAGTCACGAAATGCTTTTGAGTATCTCCTACAACTGCAAGGGGACAAAAGCACTGTGCAGAGGAATGGGGGTCCTCATCACATGTGGGGCTAAAGGCATCAGCTGGGTGTCCACAAAACCATCCCATCAAAATCCTCCATGTGTGTTAATCCACATATAGCTTGTTCCACCCTCACACCAAGAATGCTCGATTTTAAGTCAACTGATATGGTTTTGAATGTCCACTGAGTGAACACAGAATAAACACATGTGGATTAGATGGCCATGCATACATGCTTTTGCCCTCAGACGCATGGTTTAACAGACACTGATGCTAGGCCTCAAATATCCTTTCTCCTTGTCTGAGAATGGCCTCCTCAGCAGTTCATTTGGATAATGACTATCACTGTCTCACACATGGGCCCAGGAACTAACTAACTACAAAGCCCTTATGCCCACTACAGGGGCTGGGCCCACAGAACAATGAAATGTGCCCTAGGGTAGCAAGGAAAGAAGTTGCTGTCACACAACACACTAATCCATTACACTCATACCTGTCTCTTACAGACACCTAGAAGATCTACTTTTGTCATTTTAACTGTATCTTATAATTTCAGGCATGTTTATTTAGAGTAGACATTATGCTGTCTCCTATTTCAAGGTGACGATGGTATTTCTTTGTAAGGACAACCTGAGATGGGAGATTACAGAAGTGAGGTGTGTGTGTGTGTGTGTGTGTGTGTGTGTGTGTGTGTGTGTGTGTGTGTTTCTGTGCGTTGTGTCTCATAGGAATAAAGGGCCTGGAACAACACAGGATGGTTCCCAACCATTACAGTTTGTCCCATGGAAAGACAAGGTACTGAGAAGAGAAACACAAATGTGAAAGCAGCTGGAGAATTAAAGTACCTCAAAAATGCACACTGATACTTGGCAAAGGTAGGGAGCCCCAAAGACCAAACCTGCTCTGAGTGCCTCTGTTTCAACAGGTGCCAGGATGACTATCTAATTGCTTCTGTAACTGGGTGACAGAACACAGTGTCTGAGACTGTGTGTACTACTTATACAACTATGTCACATCCTGGGGTCCTACAGATCCATGTGGTATGCACACACACACATGCTATCATCAGGAATGAGAGAGCTGAAGCTGTTGGCTCTCATGAATCAATCCGTTAACACACAAGTTTGAGAAAGGGTAAGATCAGAGCTGGCTCATTTTTTTTTCTTTTTTGAATGCAATTTACTAAATATTTACCGAACAATCAATGAGTAGAACTCAGTTTTTTTTCTGACTTGATTCTTACTGATACTACACACACACACACACACACACACACACACACACACACACACTTATTTAGAAGGCAGCTTGACAACAGAACCATTTAACAAAAGAAGAAGAATACGTTTCCCACTAGGGCTTAAAACCTTTCCCAACACAGGTTTGAGACCAAGTTTACAGCACCAGGCATGAACCTAAGGATCACAGAGATGTTAGCTGCCCTCATGTTAGTCACACCACTATTGCACTGGTGCATATACCATGCCTGGCAGGTCAACTCAAGAGCATGCTGGGTCCAGCTCTGGGTAAGACGGTATTGATATAGTTTCTATCCAAAGACCATGCAAAGCTCATTTGCCCAATTTAATACAAAAAGGATGTGGTGAGAGCCAGAAAGATACTTGGTGATCAACTCTCAGGAATTCCAGACTTGGGTTACACATAAACTCAACAGAATTTTCTCCTCTATTTTCTCCTGTGTCCTAAACTGGTTCCATTACTTGAGACTAGAAATGTAAATGTCTCACAAACCATTTTCCTTTTTGAATTGCATATATGCAACCAATGTTTCAATACTCCCATCTTTATTTCTTCCCTGCCATGGGCTCCTTGTCTACTTCAGCTACTGAGCTCACCACCACTGCTGCCCTTCCTCCAGTCTCCTGTTGAATCTGTATCTAGCCTACTCTTCTAAGCACTCCGCCACACAGCTTCCTTATTGAGCTCCTTCAGGTGCTCACCATCTTCAAGACTAATTCTACTCTAAGGAGAACTCTGTTGGGCAGAGCAGGCATTCATCTCACTCCTGCTCACTAGCTTGAAGCCTGTCTCCTTTCTAGAGCCTCTGCCTCCCTTTCATGCTGCTGCAGACCTGTCAAGAGACACACCTGTATCCACCTACCCCAATGCCTACCTGCCAATCTCTGCTTATCTGTGTGGCTGTATCCTATGTCTCTTTTAAGATGCAGAAATGGCTTTGGTAAATACTTGTTTGTGTAAAATTCAGAATATATTCATTTTAACAAGGTTTATGACTTGGTGCTCAGAGGCAAAAACCCAACAAACCCCAAGACAAGCAATAATCACAGGAGTAATAAACAAAGGGAAGGGTTTTAAGTCCTGTTAAATCCAGAAACTTAGATGGAATGTCCAAGGATTCAAATTCTAACACTAAGGAAAGCCTACACCAAAGGTAGCATTCTTTCTACAAATTATTTTCTTACTGACCTCTGAAGGTCTTACTGGACCTATGAAGAAATGGTTACATAAGGGTTCAGGATGTTCTACTCATGGAAGTAAACTGAGCCATAAAAACAAAATTCACTTTGTTTCATAGCCCTACATAATCTCTAAGCATCGTATGTGAGGATGCTTCATTTTTTTTAACCCTTCTTTACAAGGGATTCGTATAGTCAAGGAGTATCTTATGGAGCATCGTTACTTCACATTACACACTGACTGCATATGTGAACCATAACTTACATCTAAAACATGTAATAGTTTTAACAGTAGTACAAATTAATTTATGTGATGAATTTCTTCTGTTATTAGGGCAAGTACCTTGGAATGTTAGAAAAAGAACAAAAGGGGAAATGGAGGAAACACAAAACTTGGGTCTGTTGGGCCTACAACTTCTACAAAATGTTCTAGAGTGTGTCCTTTGGAGAAATGCAAAATGTAAATAAACAGACATTGCCTGGGCATCTGCTGTGCAGGAGCTGAGGCTCTGCCCTGTGTGCTGGCAGATCTGACAATGGAGATGCCAGTGTCTACTAAGTACTGTTGTCTCAGTGCCTGTCTGTTTTCAGGTAGCAAATTACAGTTCTTGAGACTATGGTTTCTTGTAAGTAAAATGCAAACAGATTCATTTCATTCTATTGTCCTTCAGGTTTTTTAAGTCGTTACCATGATCTTGTCCCAAGAAATCCCTCAGAACTGCACTGTACCTTGTTATAGAGGCCATTAAAAGTCCCGAGTAGTAGACCAAACTTACTATTGAGGACATTCTCCAATTTCTGTGTCATGGATCCTTCTACTTTTTCTGTTCCATCTGCTTCTAGTTTTTGATGGATAGCTAGGAAAAAGCAAACAAACCTAGTTACAATGTGGGCCACTTTAATAGACAAAAAGATAAAAAAGCATTTTAAGGCCACTGAAAAACAATTTTACAAATTGTTCTATTATTTTCACCATTCAAGAGGAACATACATATGCAATATTCTGGGAAAAAAAACAGATGATACTATTTACACTTTTCACAGCTTAACATTATTCAAGTAGTATATAACAGACACACTCGTCAGGTCTTCAATATAGAGTTACAAAAGAAAGGAAAACGAGAAACTAGGACTTCAGGCATTGTGGGTCTTTAGCATGAGCTTTCCATGTGGCTATAGGAAATCATTTTTCTACCTCAGCTTTACTTTTCAAAATACAAAGTACTGCTATTTGGGCTCTACCAACCTCAAAACAATTTAATTTCAGACCTTGACTATCACATGGGAAATACATATCAGTCCTCTTATATTCACAATAATTTCGTGGAGGTTCCTTGGAAACACTTCAGGACACATAACAATGCACCAACACTGGGTAAAGAAAGGGTGTGTAGGGGTGTTTACATTCCTTGACTCTGATAAAAAAAAAAAACCACTGGAGAATGAAGAGGAAGGTTTAAAACAGCTATATCAGACTTATTTCAGTAAGGAACTAAGACTATGATTTCAAATTTTAAAGCTGTAACAAAATGAAGCCAGCACAGCAGACACTGGTTGAACTGTGACTATGCACAAAGCGCTGCACGTCTGAGGTGCTGTGTCGTCCACTGACAGTGATGTGCATCCCAGTATTTATATCTGAACGATGAGAAGCCCATGGCAACACCCAAATACACATGTCTGAGAAGGTCACAAAGCCAAACTTGGAACGTGAGCTCAGGCAGCCAGGCTCCAGTCCTTACAATCTCATTCCATGCTGCCCACACAGATCAGTAACTCACACTACCTAGGCTTCTGTTCTCATGTCTGTAAACTGAGAGCAGTGAACGTAGTGTGCCTTTAGGGAACTGTATTCACTTGTAATGAAGACATTTCTCCTCACAGCAATGGGAGAAGCAGCCTGCATTTCTACCTTTTTACACAATTTGCTCAAGTGAAAACCCAAATGCAACATGTTTCACTCTGTGGTCTTTCAGTGACCTAAACACCACTTTTGGATATTAATTAGGTACTGACTAACATTCAAATGATGAATCTGTTACAGCTTCTGCTTGATTACCTAGACACAGGGCCAGATTGACGCTTCGCAAACAAACCAGCCTGCTGTAAAGGTGGATGTGCTTATTTCTTTTATGAGACTTATAGCCTCAATTTCATGCACTGATCTTTTCAAAAAACTCAGTAAGTTTTTAAAATTTAACTTCAGTGTTCAAATACTTTTGAATATGTTCTCAACTCCAAAGAATATTTTTTGTTTGTTATAATTAGCCTTTAATCCTAATTTTGTTCTTTATACTACATTTTCCTGTAATGTTACCTCAATTTTGTTTCATATCCTAAAACACACAAATTGTTCCTGTATTGAATTGAATCAACACATTCATAAAAAGAAAAATAAATACACAGGGGAGGAATAGTCACTACGTTTTTTAAATTGTCTTTGTTGATTCAGAGTAAACAAAATGTGAATCTTTACTGGCTCAAACTTAAACTACACAGTAGAAATGACCCAACATATTTTCACACATCAAAGCTTAAACTTACATTCAACTTGTAAATCTAATGGAAGAGAATGTCCCCACATCTAAGCATTAAAAGCTACACTAGGAAGGCTGCTCCAGGGAAGCAGCTTGGCCCACAGCACATTACACCACTGGATGCTCTGACAAGCTTGGCTGCAAAGGCAGAGCTGGCCCTGTGCAGCTCACTGTCCTGGGTGGGAACGTAGTAGCACATGTCCATAGCCTCACAGCCAGTATTATTCTCTAAGAGAAAACTAACAGTACAGGAAACTGTGTGGCCACATTTTCTGATGCTGACATAAGCCATCACTGATCAGCAGGTCAAAATGGGGTGACCTGGTTCCCTGAGCTCAGTTTACAGCCCTTTGTGCTGACAGAGCAACTTCCTCCAACCCATCTCTACCACAGCAGAGCCACTGTCAAGTTGTCAGCCAAGCATGAGGACTAAGAGACACTGGGATCTGATAAAAGCAATCCTATTTTCCAGAAAATTAAACCAAATAACCCAATGTCTGCCTTCATTTGGGCTTTTATTTTCTCTGAAAACATTTTTAAATAGAATAACTCAATAAGCAACTGGGTACATGATCACAGGTTTGTTATTGTTTCTAATCTATTAAAAACTTAAATATGTGTGGTAGTTGAACATCATAAGCTTAAAGTTAAGAAACAAAAAGGTATTATAAGAGCACTAGTCAAAGAAAAATAGAAGTTCTAGGAAAGTGTTATTTCTTTTGAACTATATCATTGTTTCACTCTGTAAAATACACACACTGAGTAAAATATGAAACTGCAAATTCAGTCAAAAAACTCAAAATGCCTAAGCATGTACTTACATAGATGTCACTGTTAAATAAGCCACAGAGAGAGAGAGAGAGGGAGAGAGAGAGAGAGAGAGAGAGAGAGAGAGAGAGAGAGAGAGAGAGAGAGAGA